GCCACCATTTTGAAAACCTATTTCAAACTTAAAGTCAAGTTCTGCTGGACCGATTGAACTGAAAGTTGGTAGGAATGATCGCCTCATGGTCCTGACAAAGTGTTGTTATTTTTTGGGTCGATCAGAAATCCAATATGGCCACCACGGCCGCCATTTTGAAAACCTATTTCAAACTTAAAGTCAAGTTCTGCTGGACCGATTGAACTTAAAGTTTGTAGGAATGATCGACTCATGGTCCTGACAAAGTGTTGTTATTTTTCAGGTCAATCATAAATCCAATATGGCCGCCACGGCCACCATTTTGAAAACATATTTCAAACTTAAAGTCAAGTTCTGCTAGGCCGATTGAACTGAAACTTTGTAGGAATGATTGACTCATGGTCCTGACAAAGTGTTGTTATTTTTCAGGTCGATCAGAAATCCAATATGGCCACCACAGCTGCCATTTTGGTAAACTATTTCAAACTTAAAGTAAAGATCTACTTGGCCGATTGAACTGAAACTTTGTAGGAATGATCGAATCATGGTCCTGACAAAGTGTTGTTATTTTTCGGGTCAATCAGAAATACAATTTGGCTGCCATGGCCGCTATTTTGCTACTAAGTTCTAATAGGCCGATCTCACTTAAAATTGGTCTAGGAATGATCAGCTCATGGTCCTGACAAAGTTAAGTTAACATTATACTATTTTTTACTCAAATTGGTACATATTTCAACAACAAAAATAAATACTATAGACTCAGGTGACCGTTAAGGCCCATGGGCCTCTTGTTATATATATGATTTTATCTTAGGCAGTTGTATGTATGCTATATTTTTGATGACAGGTCCCTTTTCTAATATCTTTTTATGAATTTAGTCAGAAGTACTGTTAATTATTTTCTTGACCAAATATTGACGACACTCAGTAGACATTATTAAGACCTTAGGTAATTTTTTCTACTTGGGATTTGTTTTTCATTTGACTTTTTCCAGAGGAGTTATGCCCCTTGTCTGGGCTAGCTGTCTGTTGATATATTTTGTCAGAAGAAGTGCCATTTTCTTTCTAAGTCAATATCTGAGATAGTTTTATGATTGTGATTTGTTTTTATATTTTGACTTTTTTTGGGGGAGTTCTGCAACTTTTCTGATTCCTATCTAAAAATATCAATAATCTATAATAATTTTTTGTCATTCAACTATTTCTAGAGAAGTTATTTTTTCTTTCTGATTTATAATGTGTTAGAGGGGTATTAGGTAGCTTGTGGTTTACAGTTGTGGTAAGAAATTTAATTAAAACAGTCGTATAACAGTGTTTTTTGTTCTTCCACAGTCGAATGCAAGTGGAGAAGCCGTTTAAGCGTAGGATTTCCCCGTCCGTCATTCTCACTCGCAGATTCAACAAGGAGAACACGATGGAGACACTAACCAGACGACGACCAATCAAAGCAGATGATGAAAGTAAGTGTAGTTTTTGTTCTGCTTGATTATTGCTACACAGGAAGTTTACATGTTTAAAAAGATTCCAATTTAATATAGTCTTGACCCGATAGATGCTTTACGATCGTGAGTACAATACCTAAAAGTCACGCTGCTTCCTGATCTCCCATGTAAATCGTTGTAACTGTGGTATTAGGTAAAATACTAGTACTCTTATGAACCTGCATACACATCATCTGTAAACACCAAAAATTAGAAAAAAATATTTATAACCTTGTCTTCTGTTGCGTATGATTTCTGAAGTCAGATCATTGTGCTAAAAAATAAACCTTCTTGTTGTATACATATATAGTAATTATGAGGACGAAGGTGTAAGGGAGGCAATCCTGCTACTGTGCTATCATGTTTTTGCCTTTTCTTCTGTTAATCTTGAATGCTATACTTGTGTGTTTCAGATGTGTTTAAGGTGTTCTGTGCTGACCATTCCTACACTACACTATGTATGCCTATGGGCAGTACTGTCAAGGCCATCATACTACAAACCCGCGACAACCTGCGCCTTGGAAATGACCTCGTCCTGTGTGAGGTCAAATCGACTGGAGGTCAGTCTCTGTAAAACTTAAAGAGAGAAATTTGTTGATATTTGAGCTGAAATCTGAAAGGTGTGGCAAGGTCACATTTTAAAGGTCAATAATTCAAGGTATTGCTTAGGTGTAGTAAAATCTTACTTTAAGGTAGTTATAAGTATGGCAAGATTGAAAATCAGAGTTTATAAGATGTAGTAAAATCTCCTACATTTTTAATCTTTAGTAATATTCGCACACTATTGGAGACTTAGAGTTAATTGCTCTTTGTGTAAAATAGTTTTTATGTAATTATCATCAGATTGTCTCATTTATAAGCAATTTTATTTGTTTTTGTTTTTCCTTGCTTTGTATGATTTATATTGTTTCCTGGTTTGTCTGTCATGTTGGTCAATAATAGGTTTTCATGGGTTGAACGATTTTTGTCATATGTTAGATGATGGTTTGAATATTCATCCGGGTTTGATCCTGAGTTGGACAATTCGTAATGTTTTAATCTTGGTTTCAATAGGTCATCGTGTTTGAGCTGGTAGTTTGCAGTTTTGCTTTATCATGAATGACAATTTTTAAAATTTATAATGTAAGGACAAATACTATCATGTTTCAGAACGTATAATATTGAAAGACAACGACTTATGTATCACAACGTCTCTGAGTGTCAACGGAAAACTTTTCATTGCACCCAGGGAACACATTGATGCTCTGGTAAGTATATCACAGACACCTTGTTCTATACCTGATTATAAAATGTCACAGTCAAAGTTACGACTTTATAAGTGTTTGTCTCATGGCCTGCAGAACTGCCGACTCTACAATAAAGGGTAATTATTACAAGTGTGAGATCTGAATTATGCTTGTGTGATTTTCCAAGTTAAGTAACAATTTAACCTTGTGTGTGTTTAAGTTTTGCAGTAATCTGGTGACAAGGTCCTTAATCAGTATTGTAGTCATATATCTAAATCACATGTGCATTACTTCACGATGGAAATAGGCTAGAGAAAAGCCTTGAGTTAATTCTGCGAAGTCACAACATGTATGTATAATGTTACATGCTAGCTATTCTGTTTTGTGATTTCACACGTGAGTGAAAATGTCGCAAGAAAACATTTCAAAACTAATAAACACAGAGACAGCAAATCATCTGTTGTTGGATCTGCAAGGATAGATTATTTCTTTATGAAACATGGCTCAAACCTCGATGATTCTGTCACGAGTGCTGAATGGTTGTTACCCGAGTATTGATTACGATTTTTGAATCTCTTAACTTGGCTGGCTGAGGGTTAGTATGATAATACTGGGGTATGGCTGCTCTGGTCCTTTGTATGACCTATGTATGTTTGTTTGAACAGATACATCTGTGTGGCTATGTATAATCACTGTCTGTTCGACTCCTCTAAGCTAGCATGTCCAGGTGACCTCTGTGGATGTGTATAATTTTCGTATGTACAACCTCAGTATGTTTGTATGACAGACACCGTTACCGGAGCAGGAGGGTCCAACAGCTGGCACTGTGACCATGTTTGAGATGATGAGTACAAAAGAGGTGGCCTACTACATGACACTGTATGACTGGGAACTCCTTATCACTGTGGACGAAGTACGTAGAAAAATAGGAGGAAACTGATGGCATATTATTGTGACGACATTCACATTATGTCATTTACGTTTCTTTATGTCATAATAAATACAATGTGTAAATGTAGCGTTGCAGGCTGCACCAGAGGTAAATATATAATTAGGTCCATATTTCATTTTCATTGAATGCAAAAGCTTATTTAAAGGAATTGAAATTTTGAAAATTAAATATTTAAAATTTTATATGTTTGAATTACTCGTATCAAAGTGTTTTTAATATCAATTTTAATTTTATTTTCATGAAGAGTTATTCATGTGTTGTTAAATGAGGAACTATAATATTGAATGGCTTGGCCTTACAGTATGAACTCATCTATCAAGTGTTTGGTCGCCACACTTTTGGCAAGATTACCTCAAATCTGGACATGTTCCTTCGGCACTTCAACGAAGTTCAGTTCTGGGTCATCACAGAAATGGTACTGGCTCAGAATGTCAGTAAACGGGTACAGCTGCTGAGGAAATTCATCAAGTTGGCAGCGCAGTGAGTAATAACCAATGAACCGAGGAAGCTCAACCAAGCATCTCATTGAAATTTGTACTCATCTTTATATCCTCAATGAATTATAAAACATTACTACTGTATAGCAGGATATTTTCGCAATTTTGCGGGTCAACAACACCATTGTGAAAATATGATCCTAAGAATAATATTACAAGCCTAAAAACGGGCTGCAACAATAAGCATCATTATCATAATGTCGTCAGAAAATAGCGAGCATGTGGTTTTAACGATTGTATATACATCAAGAGGAATACAAGATGTTTGAAAATAAATTGTAGTATACACATCTAAAAAGGTCTGTTAAAGATTTGTTTACCAAAATACACTTTCCTTTTTTTTGCCCTAACACTGCAAAAATGTTGTTCCTTCAGATGTATGTCCAGATTGCAAAATTATGATCTGTGGAAATTAAAATTTCCCTTTTTGGTCACAATTGAAAAAAATTAGATCTGCTTCAATAACCTTCTATATGGTATTTTATTGTGTTGACTAAAAAGGAATAAAATGCTTTGGGGCTTTAAAAGAGCTATAATTTGATGAAGGGTTAAACTTTTAGCTGACTATATACAATATTTTTTTGTCAAATATAAGATATTTTAAAAGAAGTCAAAGATTCCATCATGTCGTGTGGTGATAGAAATCTAAAAATCTAACTGTTCACATTTGTTGACAGCTGTAAGGAGTACCAGAACCTTAACTCATTCTTTGCAATTGTGATGGGGCTGAGTAACATTGCTGTGAGCAGGTTGTCGCAGACATGGGAGGTAACTCACTTTAGCAATTATTTGCATATCTGTGGAATTTGTTAATGAGGAAAAGTTTGTAGATATGATAGCCCTGTGAAAAGTTGGTTAAAGCAAAAAAAAAAAGTACTTTTGTTTTTGTCTCGCCGCCACGAAGTAGCAAAAGCCAGACTAAGGTGTTGCTTTTCTGGCGACAGCTGAGCGGCGTCAACATTTACTTTTTGCATTTAAGTTAGTTTCACTGAAAGTATATGTGCTAGTCCAACCAAACTTGGACCATAGATGCATCTTAGGTAGTACAGCTCATCACATGCATCAAATGCTGGATGTGGCCTAACGTTCATGGTCCATTGACTTTGTCAGCATCTCAATCAACATTAAGTTTTTGTGTTTAAGTTAGTTTCTCTGAAACTATAAGTGCTAGACCTGAACCACACTTTACATGTGCATTGATGGTTAAAGCGGGGCACAGCTAGGCAAGACATATCAATCTGAATGGCTTGTTAGTATATAAAGAATAATTCATCTAAATATTTGTAGTTGAAAGTCTTAAATGGCTACCGACCCCTAATTTTCTAGCTGCATTATACTACTAGTTTATCTTGAGACAAGAATCAGACATCCACATGATCAAAATTGTTAGAGTGTTACTTCTTTTTCATTTGGAATTATCCAATATTCTAGAGATGGGGCCTGCAGTCTTGTTAGTAGTGGTCAAGATGCAAGAATGTCAGAGCATCAGTATAGCTTAATATTATATCTTGACCATGACAATCATCACATAGTCTATTGGTCTTTGCATGTTAAAAAATCGAGAGGTACAATTACTGACATCACAAAGATGAAGGCTTAACTTATGTATTATAGGACAAATGTGAATTTGTCGCTGTAAATTGTGGTATGCTAGCTGTCACATCATCTCCCCTGTAGAAGCTGTCAGTATTGAACTGCCGTATTTTTCCTTTCTGGACTTATTTATTGCTTTTTGCTGTAAATAATTTTTTCCTGTAACTATGTGTTCCGTAGAAGCTGTCAGTATTGAACTGCCGTATTTTTCTGTTCAGGACTTATTTATTGCTTTTTGCTGTAAATCATGTTTTCCTGTAACTCTGTGTTCCGTAGAAGCTGCCCAGTAAGTTCAAGAAGATGTTTGCAGAGTTTGAGACATTAATGGATCCAACAAGAAATCACCGTGTATACCGACTGACCGTGGCTAAACTGGCTGCACCTATCATCCCCTTCATGCCCCTCCTCATGAAAGGTCAGTGTCCTTAACACGGAGGACACGCAGTTCAGAAAATGTTTTTGAAATGTTAACTGAAACAGTTTGCCATGAATTGATTTTTGTACATGTTTGGGTATCAGCATGGTCACTGTTTCTTTAATCATGTTATGAATGCAAATCAGTTACATATTTAGGGCCTTCATGGTTAATATGTATATGCATGTAACCGATTTGAGTTCATATGCAAGAACATCGAAAAATGCTGTTCAGTCCTTAAATTTACACTTTAAATTTTAAAGTTATTATTGATCTAGAAATTGGCAGTCACTTTTATTTTCGATATATAAGTATGTACCAATGACGTCGCTGCTAGCAAGATTCCTGGAACAGTCTAACGTCACCAAAATGTGTGCTTCTAACGGTTAATTGCTTCATATTATTAGAGGCGGAAGGAGCTTCAACATGATGCTGATCAAATTGCATTCGTAGTTCTATGAGCACAATTTCATCTGATAGTGCTTACAGAGCAATTTGCAGTAGAAATGTAAATATGAAGCTGTGACTATAAAGAGCATTATGTAGGTTGATCTGATATATATTTTCATAACAGGCCTTATGTTTTTAATTTTTGATAAAAAAGAAGAAGATAAATAATGTTTAAAGACCTCATTAATGGTGAAAATTCCTTGATTTATTTTTCGCTTTGTTTTACAGATTTAACGTTTACCCATGAAGGAAACAAAACATATTTTGATGGATTAGTGAATTTTGAAAAAATGGTAAGCAGGTTATTTATTGTGATTCTCTTTGCAGTTCAAGATTAATTAGCATTGTCTTCTGTAAAACTGTTAAACACATCTTTGAAACCCTAATATATACATCACATTATTGTTTGTTGCTACTTTTCTAAATAAAACTCTTAAACACCTGTAAAATTAACTGTAATGGTTGCTCATTTCATAGTAAGGATGAAGATTTGATTGATATGCAAATCAGAATTCACCTCACAATTCAAAAACATTCCTTGAATCGGGCTTTCATTTTCAAGGTTCTTGTAATTGCAACTATGAAAATTAATAAGGTCACATGATGTGAAGGTATTTGTGTATGAATAATAAACAAAGACAATAGGTTTACCGATACCAATCATGATCCAATAATGTTTTCCATTACAGCACATGATAGCCCAGACTATGAGAACAGTACGCTTCTGTAAAAGTCAGCAATTAGGTTTGTTTGTTTCTTTTAATATTTAAGAAATCATTGAGCCTAGTGATGTAACAGGACTATAGTGTTAGCCCTTCACTTGTAAAATCCATACTAGCCAAGTATAACAACTACGCCCTTCACAGGAAAAATTAGTATTGATATTATTTTGTGTGCAGTATTTTTCGCTGTTGTAATAAGTTTGCCATCAATACGGAGGGTAAAACAAGTAAAACTGGAGACAACCTTACTGTGTTCTATATTGTAAATGGCAGATATGTTTTGTTTTAATACTCTTTTTAAAAAAACCTGAATCAATATACATATATATATATATCTAAGTTAGAAATACATGTCATTGATGATGAACTAATATAAGGGAAGGAAGGAATTACATTATATATCAGGAAGTCTTTATTGAAAGTAAAAATGTTGCTCCATCTTCTGATAATTTCATTTTTATATGCATGTGTAAATTTGATTTACAGATTTGGAAGCATCGACCTCCTTAAAGTTATCCTCAGAAGTGATAGAATACATCAGGTAGGTGTCGGCTGATTTCATCCTTAATAGCTTATTTGTTAAAGTGGTGTTACTAATTACCATTTAACCCTTTCACCACGTACTGTAGACCATAATGGACTGATCCAGATCAATGCATGGTAGGGTCTACTTAAGTTACATAGGGGTGAAAGGGTTATTGGCTTATTTAATGATATACATTATACATACATATTACTATAGTATATTTAAACCAGTGACAAGCACACAGCTGGTACGTCAGCTGTGACTGGTGTAGAGACTTTGACAGGATAGGAATCTGATGTACAGGTAGGGATGTAGGTTTGAGTTCCATCATCAGGAACAAATGACATCAACAGCATTAAAGGAAATAGATGTTGTTTATCACAGTGTAAACCTATAGTGAAATAACACAAGACTTAGTATGGAGAGTCCACTTAAAAGATACAATTCAATTTTGGGAATAAGACAAGAGTGTACTCTTTTTATTGTCTTAAGCACAAGGCCAATTGCCATACAATTAAACATCCGTTGACTTAATTACATGTGCGCAAACTTTCGGAATTTCATTAGAAAGTCTTAGATTAAAATTATTGACTTTTTTATAATGCTTCAATCATCGAGTTATGTATGAAAAATAATATAAAAAATGAATATTATATTATCAAAGTTTTATCGATTACTTTTACAATTTTTTTTTTTTTTCCCCCACATGATCAAAATGTTGATTGTTTCAGAAATCTTCATGTTATTGATAATCAGAGATTACTGACACAGTTCTCCTACAAGTTGGAGCCTCGGAGGACTTGACGACACCATCCAGGGGTCTGAAATGATGGGAGACAGTTACCAAGTAGTGGCCACTACTGGACATTCCTTCGCACATTGACCTGTGTATCTTGTGCCATACAGGGAATAGCTGTCCATTGAGCCAGGGCGTGCTCTAAGTCAGTCTGCCATGGTGATTCACTAAAACTTACCAGATTAAATGACATTGAGGTGCTGCGAGTTATCTGACCTTGGTGTACTGTGAAGGCGTTGTGCCAACCTCCAGTTGACAAAGATACCAGACTTTACAAAGTCAGGAGAAGCTGGACACAAAATGATGCAATTTGTGAATTGTTGATGACCAAGGCACAGTTGTGAAGGGTCTGGCTCCCCTGCTCCCAAAATTATGTCTGGAGTTTATACAAGGAAACTTATAAAACTACTACTACTAGGCCAAAAAAAAATCACAATGAAACGACTACTTGTACTTGACAAAGGCTATGATGATACAATCAGATCCTGCTTCGTTTTATAAAAGCCTGGTCTTAAATCAATGACCTCATGGAAAGGGGATTACTCAATGATATCAATATTGAGTGAATTTGAATAATACTAATGGCTCTATGATGAAGATTAATGCTACCTACATGTAGATGTTTTTTCTGTTAATATTATTACAGGAAATAACAGATATTCAGACCACAGAACTAATTTCTGTCAAGACATCATTGATAAGGTGATAATAATCCGCTATAGATTCATGTTTGGTATTCGCCTGGAATTTCTTTGTTCCGCTGAATGTTTGCTTGTTTCCTTTCACAGTGATGTTTTGTTATAGAATTTTTTATTGTTGAAATTAATGTGTTGTACTTCTGCATAGAAGCATTTTCTCAAAACAATTGATGATGTTTAACTCATTCACCCCTGAAATTTCATAATGAAATATTCCAACCTCTGAATTGGAGGAGTTCTAATGTGTCTCCAGGGGTGAATGAGTTAAAATCATTGGTAGATATTAAGTTGTTTTGTAATTGGACTTGTATACCAAATATGAAAGTCCCAGTGGCTCACAGCTACGAAAGATTTGAGTTAAATATTATATTTATGTTAACTTCAGTTGCTATTATAGAGGTTTAATATGTTTCCAATAATTTGTGTTATTGGGAAACCTCTTTTGGTAATTAACATGTGAAGAATTCACTTATTGTGTTTTAGTCCTTGCCTAATACAGATAAATATAATTATGACTAACAAAGACTGGACATAAAAGCAATTTATATTTGAAATCAAGAAACTTTTGAAATAATGAATTTAAGAAATTTGATGAAGTAAAACATGTCACTAAAAAAATTAATATAAATGATGCAAGCAAATGTGTTCTACAATTTCCTGATGTTGATTTTTTTTTTTTCCTTCAAACTTTTTTGAAAAATCAATATTAAAGGTTTTCTTAATAATGTACTTACTTTTTAGATATCAAATACATTGTGTTTTCAAATCAAGTATGGCAGACTATTTTAAATATCTTGTATTTTGGTTATAGTTCTTTTACTGAAAAGTTTATTTCGTTCTTTGATTTTATTATGATATTTATTGTGTAATATTGGTTATTTTTTTGTATGTGTAATATTTGGTTTTGTAATGATCCATTTTGTTGTGTCAGATGATTTAGAATTTTTCACCCCCTTGAGAGTGAGATAGGGGAATCTTTCCCCAAGGATTGAGATTCCCCATCTCACCCCAAGGGGGTGAATGATTCATTTTATTCATTGCTATTTTATGATAATTATTAACTGATTGGGCTTAAATTTGGTTTGTAGATGTATTGTGGTATTGCAAACACTACTGCAGCTTCTTTTTACTGATAGGACAGAATAGACGCCATGTCCTGGCCTCTGATTGGTGGCATCTTAGATATTGACCAATTTCTTTCATGCAGGTATACTATGTTGTTACAAACAGTTACAAACAGTTAATGTACAAACAGTTGGGTATCAAAACAGTTGTTTCATGCCTGATCGGTCAATAGTCAACGAGTCGGAGTTGTGACTCACCAGATCAATTGGCCGCTGAATAGGGGATAAAGTCATCTACACTGTATTAGGATTTGCTATATTTAAGTTTTCTTCCTAAACAGGCTGGCTTTTACATATCGTTCAGTTGTCAAAAGTGTTATTATTTGGTGTTTTTTTCCATGTTTTTTATTATCATTATTTGGTTGTTTTATGTCATTTTTTATTCACAGGTTGAAATTTGATCCTAGTGTTACAGTAGAATGAAGATGTTTAAGACCAATTAGATTATGATAGCGTTAACAATTTCTTGATTTATAAGTTGATTTGAAAAGCAGTTTTTCTAAACTCAATCTACCTTTGAAAGCATTCTAAAAGATCACAGGAAGACATGAAGCACAAGGAAATACTTTTCTAGAGTAAAGAAAAATTGTACAGGTACAAGTAGTGATATGATAAACTTGGAGGACAAGGGAAATCCCTACATTGTACGATTTCTGTTGAGAATTAATATTTCTATCTGATCAGAGGCAAGGATTTCTATATGGTTTTTTTTCTTCATTTTTTCCCCTTTCAGATGCATGGTCGGTTACTATTAACATCAAAGCTTGAATATCAATTCTGACTAGCTCTACATTTTGCTATAGATTGTTACTATTTTGGTGCGACACAAATCGTATCCTACTGAAGGAACTACCTGCTGAATGATCAGGTCATTAACTGAGGAGTAAGCCATTAAACAAGAGTTAGATTAATGGAACTCCTAACAAATGCGCTTTTAAATTGTATTGCAAATCAGTTTAAAAAAGTGTATGTAATGTTGAATAAATCTACAAAGAAATGGTTTACACTATTGAATTGGAGATCAGTGTGAGAACAGTGTATGTATGTATATAGTTGGATAAATCTACAAAGAATCGCAGTTACAGTATTTAATTATAGATCAGTGTAAGATCAGTGTATGTATCGCTGATTAAATATACAAAGAAATGCTATTACACTGTAAGAAAGAGTGTATGTATATCAATGGATAAATCTACAAAGAATCGAAGTTACAGTATTTAATTATAGATCAGTGTAAGATCAGTGTTTATATCACTGATTAAATCTTCAAAGAATCGCAGTTACAGTATTTAATTATAGATCAGTGTAAGAACTGTGTATATATCACTGATTAAATCTACAAAGAATCGCAGTTACAGTTTTTAATTATAGATCAGTGTAAGAACAGTGTATATATGGCTGATTAAATCTACAAAGAAATGCTGTTACATCGAAATCGTTGTGTTTGAGTGGAATATATATATATGACATATCAAGATTCTCATTGTACAGTTTGTTGATGACAGTTTTGTTGTTGAAGCGAATTTGGAGATAAATGTGGCAAAATTAACTTTGTGTGTTTTGTTATGTTTAAATTAAAACAGAAATACAGCCTGTGCTCACATGCTCGTCCAAGTGTCTGATGTAAAGCAACATCAAAGCAAAGAGACATAGTCCAATATAATTGTGCTTCAACCCAAACGACTTATAGCATATCAGCGCTCCTTAAACACTCAAACTTGTCATTTCTTACGATAAATGACACATGATGAAGACACCATTGTCTGTGGGTGAGTCAGGTATACTGCAGGTTTCGTCAGGATTTTCTGGAAAGGTTCAAAAGTTTCGGCCCAGTCATAGGTAGTGGGCACGTCTATCAAAAAAAATAATAGAATAGTTTTATATATTCAAATTTTTTTTGATAGACGTGCCCACCACCTATGGCCCAGTCAATATGTTCCTGAATAGTTTGCACTGATTTGACCGTGACAATGCAATTTATATCGTCCGGGGGTGATGGGGTGATGTAGGTATACTGCAAGTTTCATCAAGATATCTTGAACGGTTTTAAAGTTTCGGCCTGGACAAGAAACGATCGTAAGAACTTGAACTAACACACTGTCTCCATGTTATTCGAAGGGGATACATACAAAGCGTGAACAGGTGTTGCACTTACAACGATAGCAAGTACGTATACACCGACTCTGGAGCAAAGAAGAACAAAGATGTAAACATACAGACAGGCATTTTATTTCTAGCAAAAATGATACATTTCAAAAGAGATAGAAAGGATGTATCAGCAAAATTAGTAGAGATACGAGCTAGTTGAGAAAAAAACTTAAAAAGTCACATTAGATTGTCCTTGTCTGAAAAAGGAATTAAAACAATATATATACAGTTAGAATTTTGTGGAAACCAAATCATAATTACATGTACATCAATTTCTGATTGAAAATGATGGTTACTTTGTTGGATTCTTTCTGGTATATGACACCAGGACCTAGCATCACAAAAAGTCTGAAATCACAAAATCAGTGGCCTGTTCGTTTTTGCGGGACAACCGGTTTGTCCGTTTTTAAATGTAACATTTTTGGGTATAAATTCGGGCGAACCTGCAAATGTTTATGCTTTCAAAGTCGAGGCTCGCCTAAAAGCAGCATCAGCTTACTAGGTTCAATCTTATTTTATAAATGAACAACTCTGATCAAACAGGTTCAACCATTTGTATCGCGATAAACGAAAGCGTATTAATACACTGTACGTTATATTTCTCAAAAAATAATATAAATAGTAACATATATATATAAGATTTGTTAGGAAATAATGTCTCGCTTTGAGACTTTGGAGCTATTGCAAAAATCCTACTTTAACGTTTCGGAGGAAAGAAATGATGTCATATTTTGCTTTTTAACGGCCCCACACTGATAAGCATACATTTTTGCTTAAAGATGCTTTAAAGTCGGACCTACATAAGTGGCTATATTTGAATAAAATCCGTTTGACCCTATTACGATATATTGGGAGTCAAAAGAGGGTAGTAAAATAACATCTTTTGTTTCTCTAGATCTCTTCAAACAAATTCAATATCCATTCAAAACAGTTCTAGAAAAGTAGTCAAAATCAGTTATTGGGTCACCTTAGCTTTAGCCAAGAAAGGAGCCAACAAGGCCCAAGTGTTAGAGCACTGCGTTTGCCTGCTTAGTCTACCTTGTTGATGTGTCTTTGTTGGTCCTCCACGCTTAATAGTTAGTATACTGCTTGCCTCCTTTCAGATTGTGTTGTTAATGTTGTTTGCCAAACCACGGCCCAATAGATGACCATAAGATTAGTACATGTATATATATCGTATTAGCCAAGCGCTAGGGCCGTACAGGTGGAATATCGCTCCGAGGTTTTGACAATACGGACCGAACGCATGCGACTTCCGTACAAAGCCCGCGGCCGGTATTTTCCAGTCCGGTCACGCGCAAGCTAGGTTAATAATTAAGAGACTTTTACAAGACAATTTCAGCAGGAGGCTTGTGACAATTGCGTGTGTATTTTCAACGCCTGCTTAAACCCCTGAACAATGTTTTACTTTAGTTATTGTCACTATGAGCCATGCGATACATTATTGAATATCCCTTGAGTTAACTGTGTTTTCTCTGTATACACATTCTTCTAAATACCTGTGTGTTTACCGAGAAATACAAGTGATATGTGGGATATGCCATGGTAAATCACGAGAAAGCCTTTCGTTACTATTTCATACCATGCCAAGCGCGTAGATTATAAATTGTTCTCCACAATAAAACGACTTAAAAATATTGTGCTTGATATACTAAGCTAGTCCTAATTATAAGTCCAAGCGCGATCGAAAGTTTAGGTCCACAGTCGCAGGCTTCCAATTCCGGCTTGAATATTGTTTCCTATAATTATCGATCGCATGTCGTCCGGCTCTGTAAAGATTTGTAACTAGAATAGTTCACAGTTATTGTGTAGTTCATACCAAACCTGGTCCACCACTCCGATATCGTGTTCTAGTTTTTCATAATCATATTCTTTGTCTCCTAAAACCTCGCATACAAAGTCGTACTCTGCCTTGGCTGTGTCATACTTCGTCAAAAGATCATTCAAGTCCCCTTCGATTCTCTCAAAGTCAACTTTTAGAGCCTGAAAAAGAGAATGGAGTATATGATATCAATAAGACAGACGCCAGAACACAGGGCGATGTATACTTTGTTTTTCTCTTAAATAAAGTTCGGTTCGAAACAACAAAAACAAAACAAAACAAAACAAAATCGAATATACGTCATCGTCAGCGTAAGAAAGTTCTTCGCCAACGAGTAGAATTAAGTTCTTTTTTTAATATGATCTGAAATAACTATCAATATTTCATCTAGACCGTAATGGAACCTTTTCAAATATATAATGGCATCGCGTCTAATAGAGAGTAATATATACAGGGCCCGTATTTATGAAGCCGTTCTCCTGCTCCATCTCAGATTCTGTGCTCAAGTCCGCGATCTTGTTCCCGTTGTCATACATGTAAACATTATCAAACAAAACAAAACGATTACTGTCTCCTATCATTACAATAGATTTTTAGCCCACCATACTAATTAAGGTACTAGTGGGATCTTTCTTAAATCTTATATGTAGGTTCCCCGTGGTCCTAAGCTGTGCCGGGCAACTTTTGGGATTGATCGGATAAACAACATGGCCGACAGGCAGACATATTGGATTTTGATAGTGAAAGTTTGTTATCGCTATTTCTCGGGAAGTACGAGAGGGATCGTTTTCAAATTTTATATGTAGGTTCCCCTTGTTCCCTTGTTGGGCAGCAGTGCCTGAAATGGACGGGCTCTCGCTTGCCAATGGCGATTAAAGTTTTGCTCGGGCGACCAAAAGTTGTCAAAGGTGAAGTAGTCACTGGCCAAACAAAAATAGTTTAGGCTGTTGAAAATGTTTTGAATAAAAGAAATTATAGTCCCTTCCACATTAACTGGGGGCAGTACATTTCAGTTGTCATAACTTCGATTTGAATCGAACTGTTCGTGATTTAGAAAATTTTATGATTTTTTTTTCAGATTTTCTATATAAATACTTCAAGGGTCTCTTCTTTGAGGTGCGAGTTTTGTGTATTTCTTTTTGGGAAGACCTGAATGGAGTGGATCATGTCAGGTTTTAACTAGGGTTGAAGAATTAAAAATGTAATGTTTTATTCTGTTTGACATATAACAAACATTGTCATGTTAAATGTAAATTAAATGTGCTGAAGCATTGTGTTAAATGCTGTGGAAATATTTCTTGCCAACATTATTTGGGCCACCAATATGTCATTTGGGCCAGTGCTTCAAATTCTTTACTCGCCCCAAAAGTTGAGGAAGGTCGACAGATGCCGTAGCCCATTTTACGCTCCTTTGGGCAGTTGCGCTGAATACACCCACCCTCTAATAGGAAGTCTGGTTTTCCCAAGTAGTCATTTTGTTGCAAAGCAAGTAACAAAAGAGTACCATATTTTTGGAGCTATGCAAATTATGTATTTGAATGAGCTTCTCACGTCATTCGCTCCCTTTTTAAGTAAAAGTAGCAGAGTACAGTAGAAATGGCTTGACCCTAAAAATAAAGGGCATGTTTAGGATAAACATGGATAGCGGATTCATCCTGCACAACACACCTACACATATATATATTTATAAACTACATGTTGAAAACGTTTTTTTTTCAAAAAGTGATTTCCCCAGATTTGGGACTTGTGAAAACCATGGTTACCACATCAAAAAACGCCAAAAAATGCAAAACACCGTGATTTTTTAACCCAAAATTTGACCCACGCAAGTAGTATTTTTCTTTCTTAAAACCTGTCTTAAATTAAATATCACCTACTTGGTCACAGATACTCACGTTTTAGCAGCATAGGTCTTCAAACTAGATTTTTCACAATATTTACACATGCGCTGAGTACAAATATAGACTACATGAAAAGCTAGCTTTTGTTGTGTAGACACAGATTCGTAAATGGCCAAAATGTAGTCTCAAGCCAAATCCTTTTTTTTTTTAAAATGTAAAGCCCACATAATCCAATTCATCATGAAAATGCCAATTTTAGAGCTGTTTTTTTTTTTTTTTTTTTGACTTTTGTTACATGTACTATTACAGGGGTTATTCACTGTACAAAAATATCACATATGGACACCCCGCTACTGTACATTGCTACCAAAGGTCCTGCATTATACCTTCAATTTTTTGTTTCTTTCCTGAGTTAGGTCATAAACATCTTTCACGTCTTTGGCTACAAGACCAGTGTCGATGGCCACGGAAACTGCAGTTCCTACTACAGGTACGGTGGATGCTACCCCGGAAGCCAACTCCAGTCCTGCGCCTGCAACATCTCCATTTACCAGCCTCCAGATTCCATATACAGTACCCAACGCCAATCCTACAACAGGAACGGCCTTCGCTGTGGTCTTGGCGGTTCCCTTCGATACCGCTTTGGCACCTTGTTTGAGTGCCTGCTTTGTTGCCGTCTTAACAATCCCTTTTGCAATTTTTGCTCTGATTTTTTTAATCACCGCTTTCAATACTTTTTCAACTAGTGCTTTCGTGTTCTCTGTCGTTATCTTTATAATTTCGTTTCGGATATGTTTTCTTTCCTCTTCGCTCTCGAAAACAATCATTATCGCTTTTTCAATCTCTTCTTTTTTCGCCTCGATTTGTTCTTTAACAGCTTGCATCATCACCAAGAACTTCTCTTTTACACCATTCACCGTTGCATTCTGTTTGACCTCTTTCTCTTCTTTAGGCATACATGAGGAACTCACTAGAATCCAAATATCTTTTAACGTCTTCAGACTACGGCGTGTTTGGTCTACTTTGTCATCGAAGTCGTTATCTTTTTTCTTTCCCAAAGGCCCAAAGTGGGTAACAATGATTTGGTCGCCAACTCGGGAGAAGATAAGCCAATTAAGTTTTTTCTCCCGGGAGTTTGAATCGAGATATATAAAAAGTTCATTGTTTGAGGTTATTTTAATAATACGAAAATGCGGCCTGAGTCTTGTCCAGTTCGGAGACTGATGATTACTTGGAACCTCCTGACAGTTTGCAGTTAAATGTTGAACGATGATTCTGTTGATTTTGTCATCCATATCTCAATCTGAAAAAGATAAATCGAAACGTAGGCAACTCCGTGTGATTTATTAAAGAAAGTAGCAAATTACGGTGGAATGCGTTACAGTACCTTGGTTATAACAGCATATGTAATCTCGAAAACATGATGAAGGAAGGAGCATTTTAACACAATTGGATGTTCAGAAATATCTTAAGACGACAACAACGACGACAACGAGAGTACATGACGGCAAGGCTGAAAGACCTATGGCGATATTTTTTTTCTATATATTGAACCTAAATTCTGAAAGTGAAAGCGTATCTACATATCATGGTTGTCATTCATTACTAGTCATGTGTTGAAGTTAAATAACTAGCGATATATATATCTCCAAAGTGTCATATGTGTTGATATTTCTCACTACGCCAAAAAGCTATCTTGCAATGATTTTACAGATATTTTGATATCTTCTATTGACTATAAAGCATAAAATGCTTACTTTTGGAGAACTTGTTTTACTCTCCTAGTACATTTTCTATGGTTTGGTCGACGTTAAGAGCTTTGCATTAGTTTTCATTTTCCCTGTAATTATTGTAAATTTGCTTACTTATTTGGTTAGCACTGTGTTCTTCAATGATTGATCAAGGAACCCAAAGTGGGCAAGTTAGACTAATCAAAGAATATTTATAATCTGATGGTTTTAAGTTCGGAACATACAAAAGTCCTGAGAATTGGAAAATTCTTCTCACCAATGTATGTACTTTAGTGCTTGTCAGTCTATACCACGAACAAGGCTGCGTTTCTGCCTCGATATGGGCTAAAGGGTGGGACAAAAAGTAATATGGCCATATTGCTTTAATCCATTTCTTCTATGGAACTAAGATATTGATATCAACCATGTTTCTTTGGAAGCATTCGTGGGTGAAGAGGGTGCATAATTGTACCAATTCAGGGGCTACATTAGGGGCGGAGCAAAATTGACTTCTTCTCTCTAACTGTGAGATGGATATCAACCATATTTGATTGGAATCTTTCTCGGACAATTGGATTCTTAATTGTGAAAATATATAAGCTGTCCTTTTCAGTGGTTGAGGGGCAGGGCCAAAAAAGGAGTATGTTGGCTATATTACTGTAAGCGTTTGATATCAACAAAATTTGCTTAGAATCACTTTAAACGCCGTAGGGTTAAAATGCCTAAAACATCTTAAAAACACCATGTTTTTCCATTGAGCAAAAGGTCAAGGAAGGTGATATATGTCACCAAGCATGCTGACTGGTTTCTAGGTATGTTCAAATGAATCACAAACCCACCTTCAAGGTCACATGAGGCAAATTTGTTAAAACCTTTCAATAGCCAAAAGATGAGGATGTTTGGCAAATAGCTTGATTGGGTGCAGGCCTACCACGTGTGTACAAATGAATGACTTTGATCCGCTTTCAAAGTCAAAAGGGTAAAATGTGTTACATGTAAAATCTTTAAATAGCCTTTTCTCAATACCAACAGTTCACAGGGTGATGGTATTTGGACTGCTTTATGCTTGGATAAAAGGCTATAAAGTTTGTTCATATAAAGGCTTAGGGGGATATTATTTTTTTGAAGATCTAATACTAAACTGTTTCAAGCACTGCTGAGCGTAGAAATGCAAGAATTTCTAGGACATCATTTCCATTCACAAGCTGATCGAGTGAGTGGTAGAATAGATTTCTGAGTTTCCAAGTTACATTTTATAACGCAGAGTAGTATATTTTATGTCTGTAAAAAATGTTTGTGTCAGGCCCTGAACATGGTCACTTTTCAAAACTTAAAACTTGCTCTGGGAATGTGAAGAGGTACAGCATTTAGAACAAAGTCTAGATAGCCTGTTGGAAGCACTATATACTCCTTTTTTGGTAAGATTGATAATAATAACAATCCTTGTCAGAAGGTGGATAAGGAAGTTAGTTTAATAAGCAAGCAGTACATTTACAAAACAAGATGTTTACATCAGACACTGAATGCCAATGCATTGCATTATGCCATTATGGATAACTTTAGTGTGCAGAAATATATCATTAGAACTAAAGGGGATGTGGCCAAAGATACATTTCGAAACGGATTGAGAAAGTGGGAATGGTTGTTACAGATAATCAGATGAAAAGATATTATTTTGTTGGCACATTCACATTCCCAGAGCAGGTGGACAAAGAACTATAAAATTATACAGCATATTTCTGTATATTCGTTCCTATCTTTTACTCTATTGTACTCATATGTATCCATAGATCATCAGTCCCACTGACGAAATCAGCTCACTTGTTACATAATCTTTTCTAGTATTCCCAATTGCTATCATACCATCCATTGTCTTTTGCTTTTCCCTCCTCTTCTTCTTCTTCAGCCCCACTCCCTCTCTCTCAATATACCCCCTTCCCTTTCTTGAAGAAAAACAATGCTCTTGAGTAGGTGATATACCTATGTTTATATTCTTAAAAAGGGAATTAGTACTCGTTCGTTTCATAAGCAAAAATATATTTTATGCAGTTTCCCTATCTACATCTCATTTTTAATTTCTTAAGAAATAATATCCGGGTCCTCCCTGTATTTTTTGTCTGTTTCTCTCGAGCTGTAATATGCCTCCTCTTTTACTTCTGTTATTCTTTTTCATCTTTTTAAGTTCTAATGATTCTCACATGTGTGTGTGTGTGTGTGTGTGTGTGTGTGTGTGTGTGTGTGTGAGAGAGAGAGAGAGAGAGAGAGAGAGAGAGAGAGAGAGAGAGAGAGAGAGAGAGAGTGTGTGCAAGATTGAGTGAATTTATGAGTTTATGTTGTATTTGAAATTTTATACAAGGCATGAAATAAATCACTTTGAAGCTGTGTACATGTATGTACATGTGAAATGACGTAAACAACAAATAAGTGGATGATTTAAAATGCGAGTGTAATGTTTTGTGAATTTAGAATGCTGATGATGATGATATTATCATTATGATTATGATGATGATTATGATAATAGAATGATGATGATAATAGAAAGATGATGATAATATAATGATAATAAAGACAATGATGATGATGTAATGATGATGATGATGATGATGATGATGATGAGGATTGTATGCCGATGATGATGATGATTATGATGATATTATTATGATGACAATGAGGATGATGTGTTTTGATGATAGATTGTGATAATGCTATATCCTTGTCCTTGTGTGTATGTGTGAATATGCGTGAATGTCCTGTTTATGTACTACTGTATACTGTATGCATACGTAATGAAAAACTTGGAAAAACAAAAAGTCACAAAAAAAAGTTGAGGTAAGGTTAAAATGGCATTTTAAAACTATTTATGTTATTTCTTTATGATAAATTGTAATTTCAGTTTATGCATGGTTACATCGTATGGTACTTCAAAACTTAACCAAAATGAATTTAAAATGAGGAACATAAATGAACTGCTGGTGACACAGGTACTAATGTAGTTACAGTTTTATTGTTTTATACCAAACAAATTTGAAATAAAATAACATTTACAGTTACCTGAGTTGTAATAAATTGTTTTTTTGTTGTTTCGATGTGGCTAAAACAAAATAGTCCATATAATCAAAATATAGCTTTTTAGATATTGCATCAATATTTGTAAAAAATAAACATGGAATTACCTGTATTTTAAATACTCCATTGAATTTCATAAAAAGGCCGAGGAATATAATATTTGTCCGGCAGCTAGCTGAAGTATTGTGTAAGGAAGTGTGTGAAAAGAATGGCAATTTTAAACAGTCGAGAATATTTAGGCCCCCTAGGCTTCCTGATCACTTTAACAGAAATATTGATCCATTACTGGACTAGAAAAAAAATATAACCTGTACATATTTCATAATGATTCCATTGTGTTGAGGTCAACAGACAACTTTACGCGCTGACTTTTGCATTCTCTTGTGGAGTTTTGGTGGTTAAGCAAATCTAATATGAAACATACATTATTTGCTTAAACACATAAAGGTCCAGGTGAGTGCTGCAGTTTCAACAGCCCATAGGATAACGAGTTAGATAAATATTTGGCTACATTTATTCTTTATTTCTAATTCCATGAATTACGCCTCCTCACGGCTAGCAGTGCTTGGATTTATTTCAATTTAAAAATGTTTTTTAATAGACCATACCCAAAGTGTTTGCTGTAGTGTTTATTCTTTTGAATTTTGTGTCGCCTGTATTGACTTGAACACACGTTTGCGGAAACGCATACATTTAAAACTGAATATCCAATTATGTTATCACTTTAAAGAAACGTTTAGAATAGTTTATATATGTATTTTCCAGATGATTTTAAAACTTTTTCGCGGACAGTCCCTTTCACATTATTTAAATGTTATTGAATCCGTTCCCTAATATTTCGTAAAATGTGTTTTTGGACGTTATTCTTTAAATTAACCATCATGTTTTAATGAAGATTGGGTAGCATTATCAAAACTAATGATTTCTTAATACGTTTATAATAAATTTAATTGAGACAACGTTTAAAACATCATAAATGTTACATAAACGATTTAGTTTAAACTTCATTTTATTATCTGTATACTATTCCAGTAATACAAACATGATATACATATAGGAATCGAAAACAAGTACAAAGTACTTTTGTTAATCCGTCTCCTTTTTTGTAAAACGGCGATTGGACGGCACTGACTAGTGTTATACATATAGATATAAATATATGGAAGAGAAGAGGATGGGAGAGGAAGAAGGAAAAGAGGTGCAAAAGGGTTTTAAAGAAAGTATTGCTGGGGGTAAAATATATAGGGGAGTACATTTACTGCATTATGGGAGGAAAAACTGGTTAGAGTATATTTTGGATATGGACACATGTCGAGGACTGTACACGTCACTGAGGTATTCAACACACAGTAAATAAATTGCATATAATGAAAACTTTACATGCCGATCCCTGAGTATTCCGACATCCAGTGGTTAACCTGGTGTAATTTAAAATATCAAAAGTATCATCAAACAAGATTATGTATATATATATATCCATACTGACGTGTCGTGACATACATGGGCCGTACCAGTTAAGTTCCAGTATGTACTCATGCAAACATACGTGAAATAAAAATTGAGAACTTCAAACTTTAAATTGTTTCGACTGGTTGATGAAATGTTGGACACAGTCGAAAATATTCTCTTTATATTTAACTGGCATATCAGGATTTTCGTACGGAAGACGATTTACATTATAGTCGGGAGGAGGCTTCTGAAGCATTGTACTCTTAATTGTTGGTATTTCGGACAGAATAGGAGGTTTAAGCAGACTGATTACAAGTACACGTGGGACTGTCAACTAGGTTTTGTCTATATAAATGAATAAAGAGAGAACTACAGTTCATCCTAAATCGTGCATGATGTATTTGGCCGAATCTACTTCTGCAGTAGTAATAAAAAGGCCGAAGAAGATTAATTTCAGCACTCAAGAACTTTTTAAGATTAGTAGTCGACGGGTTAGGCTTTATATTATGGGGAAGTGCATTCCATAGGTCAATAGAGGAGGGTATGAAAGAATCCTTGTGAAGCTTGGTTCTAAAGTTCATTTGGCAGTAATTATTTGCGTTTCTAGTATTGTGAGAGTGTAAGTCAGAATGACGCGCAGGTAGTATGTTAGTTAGATAAAAGGGGCACTGACCATGAACAATCTTATGGAATTGTATGATTTTATGTTTTATTCTTCTAACAGAAAGAGGATCTCAGCCAGATTCTAAATAAATTTGGTCATGACTAGTTAGTGGCCCCAGTAACAATTATGTCTGCTTCGAGCTGCATATTTTCTAATAATTGACTTTGTTCAATCGTTATATTGTCCCATATTACATCACCCTCTTCTAAAAGGGATCGTAGAAAAGTAAATACATTGTTTGAAAAGTCATTCTGTCAATATTGAATTTAAATTTCCTAATAATACCAAATTTCTTGGAAGCTTTGCTGATTATATATTGCGCATGGTCAGTCCACACTCCGCTAGCTTAGATAAAGACGCCTACAAATGTAGGTGTTTGTGGCAGGGTACTTCTGTTAAGGAGATATTATTCATAAATAAGGAGGGATGATTTGGTTTATTATTTTTAGGCGACCTGAGCTTTGCTCAAGTGACCTATTCTAATCGCTTTCCGTCTGTCGGCGTCCGTCGTCCGTCGTGCGTCGTCCGTCGTGCGTAAACTTTTTACATTCTCAACTTCTTCTCAAGAACCAGCGGATGGATTTTTTCAAACTTCGTCAGAATCATCCTTAGTAGATGAGGCTACCAAATTCTACCCCAACCCCTGGGGCCAGGGCGGGGCCCCAAAGGGAAAATTAATCAATATTCTAAAAATCTTCTTCTCCAGACTCGGAGGTACTACATTCAATTTCAGTGCATAAAAATAAAGATCATCAGGGACTTTATTTAAATTGTAAACTTCAGGACCCCCCGAACTATCCGTTCTCCCTTGGGGAGGGGGTAAAGTTTACTACAGTTTATATAGGGAAATACCACTTAAGGGTATATTTTGACAACTTTCTGTAGGAAATTATTTTTACTTGGTGAGAATTATCCTTGGAGGAAGGTGGTTTCAAATTGTTAAATTGAGATTCCTACCCCAACCGCTGGGGCCAGGGCGGGGCCACAAAGGGAAAATTAACCAATATTTCAAAAATCTTCTTCTTCAGACTCAAAAGTACTACAGTAAATTGTTTTTGCATGGAAAGAAAGATCATTAGGGGCTTTATTTAAATTGTAAATGTTAGGACCCCCGAGCTATCCGTTTTCCTTGGGGAGGGGGTTACATGTAAGTTTACTCTAGTTTATAGGGAAGTAACACTTTTGGGTATATTTTGACAACTTTCTGTAGGAAATTATTTTTATTTGGTGAGAATTATCCTTGGAGGAAGATGGTTTCAAATTGAAAAATTGAGATTCCTACCTTAACTCCAGGGACCAGGGCGGGTCCCTAAAGGGAAAATTAACCAATATTTCATAAAATGAAAGATCATCAGGGGCTTTATTTAAATTGTAAATGTCAGGACCCCCGAGCTATCCGTTCTCCCTTGGGGAGGGGGTAAAGTTTACTGCAGTTTATATAGGGAAATAACACTTTTGGGTATATGATATCCATTTTCAGCAGAAAATTACTCAAACTTAGTCAGAATCATCTTTGGTGAATGAGGGTATTACATTGTAAAATTATGATTCCTGCCCGATCCCCAGGGGCTAGAGCGGGGCCCTAAAGGGAACGTTTACCAATATTTTCAAGTTCTTATCCTTTGATGACATGCCAAGTATTGTATTTCACTTAGTTTACATGCTGATTTCCACATCACATCTAAACAATAAAATAAAGCTACCAGTACCTATGATATAACTCGGGTGACCGCTAAGGCCCTTGGGCCTCTTGTTCTTACTTGCAATCATTGTCACTGTTTTGTTAGGGTTAAAGTTAACAAGCCGTTTTTAGACCAATCATGGATTTTTTTTATTGTAGTTTAATAGGATGGCACTAAGATCTGGCAAGTTCACTACAACGTAGAGGGAGGTTTCATCGGCAAACAATTTTATTATACAATTGATATCTTCAACAATTTCATTAATGAAAATTAAAAACAACAATGGGTCTAAAAATGACACCTGGGGAACCCCGGCTGTAGTATATGCTAAAGCAGACTGTTTACCATTAATAACAACTCGTTGAGACCAATTATATAAGTAATTTGAGAACCAAGCAAGTAAATTTCCTGTAATGCCAAAGTTTTTGAGTTTAGAAAGAAGACCACGATGCCACACTCGGTCTAACGCTTTGCTTATTTCACAGAAAGCCATTCTTATTTCTTTACCTTTATCTATAGCAGACTAGATGTCGTTAGAAATAGATATAAGTTGGTTTGTAATGGAATCGCCGAATCTAAAGCCAGACTGACAAGGAGACAAAAGAGGTTTGTCGATAAAATAATTGTAAACATATTTGTATACACACCTTTCCATCATTATGCCAGTAATAGAGACGGAAATAGCAATCAGTAAGAGTAGTTAAAAAAAGTATGAAGAGAATAACTTAGAATATCAGCAGCTTTTTTGCAGTCAAGATTATGTCCAACATCAAGAACGTCTTGACGAGTTATAACAATGTCAGAGAGAATATGAGTGTGGGGCTTTTGTAGATAGGGGGCGGG